TGATGCCGGGGAATTTGTCGGCGAACCCGAGCGCTTCGGTGCCGAACGCGGCAAACGCGCCGTGCGAGATGATGCCGTGCGGGTGGTAGCCGAAGATGTACTTGCGTGTTGGGGGCAGGTCGTGCGTCTTGTGCAGCGTGGCCGGGAAGTAGTCGGCGAAGAACTTCCAGATGGGGAGGCGTCGGAACCGCTCCGAGCGCGCGCGCAGCCGGCCGTCGGTGGCGGATTTGGAGAGCAGCATGTGCAGGAGGTAGGGCATTAGGATCGGCCAGGTGAGTGGGATGGCGCACAAGAAGAAGAAGAAGGACACCGTCATGGCGATGCTCAGGCAGTGGGCGAGCACGGCCATGGTCTGCAGCCGCCGGCGGTAGGGGATATTCCAGGGGGCAAAACGGATGCCGCCCGCTCTATAGGCGTTGATCCGGGCCCGTTCCCGGGCGGCGGCTTCCTTGCCCGCCGTGTCTCTGAGGGGCGGGTAGGTGTCGTGAACATCCCTGGGAGTTGTCGCGCCGTGACCGTTGGTGTCGAAACTCCCCAGAGACGAGAGTTCGTCAGCTTCCCTCTCGGCGACGTCTCCAGTGGATTCCGCCATATCAGCCATCTGGCCGATGCTAGTCCTGCCGTTGTGGATCAATCCCATGGCTGAGGTGGGCGTGAGGAAGCCGTTAACGTCCTGGCCATGCTGTTAGCCCATGACCAGAGAAGCGGTATATCGCGAAACACTGTCACCCACCGTCTCAAGACCCCCCGTCCCCGACGCCGTGTCGCCATCGTGTGGTGCTGCCTTGATGTCAACGGTCTGGGCTTGGATAACACAACCGCCGTGCGACCTCCTGGCGTGCGCAATGCTCCTCCGCAACACCTTGCTCTTGCCCATAATGACGAATGACCACCAAGCCACCGTGATCCTCCTATTTCTTGTGTGTGTGTATGTGCGCGCGCTATAACAGGTCTCCGAGGGGCTGGCTTGCACTGCCGGTGGGTGTCTCACCTGGGAGTAGAGTCGGAGCAGACGGCATGGTCTTGGTTGGGCCCAGAGGGCAAGAGAGGAGGTGGTCGTGAATTAGAAACGGAAGCGGCGATACGATGTTGCTGTAAAATGTGAAAGTTTCCAAAAAGGCGCGATGCGACCGATGCCTGCCCCGGTAATATGTCCGCTGTGTTCGCTGTTGTTCGGTAGGTCGTGAGGAAGGAGGGTCGGGTCTGACGGTGGAGGGTCGGAATCAGAATGGAAGCTTAATTTCGGTCGAGATCGGGAGTTCAGATTAGATTCAAATTGAAGGATAGATCAAAGAATAGATTAAATAATAGATCGGCAGAGGAAACATCAGATGAGGGACCGTTGGTTTTTCTGGCGGCGCTTCAGAGACGAGCGCCGCGGCGAGGGAGGGCACAACCTGCAACGGCGGAGCTCAAACCCGAATTACAGCGAGCCATTCGCCATTCCAGTTGCTCGTCATGACGTTTGCGAGGTGGGGCTGCGGCATGGCCGGCGTCCGGCACCGCACTGCCATTCTCTCATGTGGAACGCCAAGGTTTGTCAGAGATAACCCAATAGGCATTCGGATTTCGTACCCCTGTCGGTTCTGGTTGTTCGACATGTGATGTGCGTGATGTGAGAAGACCAGCGTAGATACCAGCGAACAACAGCTACCAAAGTAAAGACCAGATCTTGCCATTTAGTATGCTCTAGCGAGGCTACTTAGACGCTATCTCACCTCCATGAAGAGATAGGTACCATAATAAGCTCAGTAGTCCACAGCCCACATCTCGAGGCCGAGGCTTTGGCTGCTGAACAAACCAAACCTGACCTCCCAACGGGAGGCTCGGTTGTCTCCCATGGGAGACCCTGCCTAGTCCAGCCCGACCTGCTACAAACCCAGCACGCTGACGCTTATCCCTTCTTTTGGCCCGAAAAACCACCGTCCTTGCGCCGTTCCAACGCCCGCCGTTGCCCCAAACCAGATTCGAAACCTCTACAAAATACAAGCACCCCATAAGGTGCGAAAATCGGATGCCGGTAGGCTCGTGGCCTCCTGTCCCCGTCCCTCGGTCCCCCCCGCTCTTCGCCAACCGCCCGCTCACCAACTCTACTGTTGAGCGGCGGCGGAATCGGCCGGGGAGCCCTCCTCCTCCTGTGGCGGGGTAAACTGCTGCCGTAGCGCCGCGACCTCGGCCGTCAGCGCCGCGATGTGCTGCTCGTGCGTGTTGATCTTCTCCACGAGTTGCGTTCTGCTTCTCGCGTCCGTCTCCGCCTGGGCGCTGAGCTGCTTGACCATGCCTTCCAGGTGTTGGAAAAGCGCCCATAGGTCTGGCTGCGCAAACCCGCCATTCTCCCCGCCCTGCGGAGGGCGTTGCGCCGCACCGCTCGCCGCCCGGCCGCGTTCTCGACCGGCCGCGTGCTGGGATGTCGTTGTGTTGCCTTGGATTGCGTCTCGGTCAGCGGGGGGGTACTGAGAGAGCCAGGCTTGCTTGGCCGCTAATGACATACCATGCGTAGGCAGAGACAGCCCCGGAGCGCCCTGCTGTTGTTCATTGCCTGCCCGTTGCTGACCTGCGGCCGAGTTTACCTGCGTGCCGCCTGGGCTCAGCGGCTTGGGGCTCTCGGTCATGCCGCCCTGCGAGTACATGGCGGAGCTGCCCGCGCTTAGCGGTACCGACGATATGCTGGTTTGCGGCGTGTGGCCGCCCGGCATGCTGGGGGATGTGTTTGTGCTCGAGCCACGGTCGACATTGGGCGGATACAGGCCGCCGGGTGCGCCCTGGCGTTGACCGGCAGGGGGGTACGTGCTCGAATGGCCGCCGTAGCCTTCCGGCCCCGTCTGTCCGGCGACGTGTTGCGGCTTGATGCTCGGCATGCTGAGACGGCGCCGCTCGTCCTCCGACATGTCTTCCCCGCCGTCGTACAGCGCCCCCGACATGGCAGAGCTGTCTGCTCCATCGTAGCCGTCTTTGAGGCCAAACGAGCCCATTGTCTGTCTTCTGCCCGCGCAACCACCCGCCCCCTTGCTGTGCCTGGCTAACGCGTCGCCGCGCGCAAACTTTCTATCACAGCTCGGGCACACGTGCGGTTTCTCACCGGTATGAAGTTTGCTATGCCTCTTAAGGTCATGGAGTCGGCGGAACCGCATTTGACACGATGGACAATTGTAGGGCTTCTCCTGGCTGTGCGTGAGTAGGTGGCTCTTTAGGTTATGATGGCGCGTAAATTCTGTCTCGCAGTAGGGGCACTTGTGCTTCTTGTTGGAATTTGGCGAACGGGGTGTGAGGTCAAGACCGGGGGTTTGTGGGCCATTTATGGGCATGCTCATCATTCTTTGAGAATGCCCGGGTGCCGGCATGGCCCCCGGGTAAGAGAGGGACGCTCCCGTCTTGTCTTCCATCGGCGCCTCGGGTTGTGGCGCATACAAACCCTCGTCGTTGCGAGAGTCCACTTCCATCGCTGTTGGGCTATCGACTACGTGTCCATCTCCATCCTCAACGCTTGCTCCGCTTGTACCGCTCTGCGGGCTGACGTCGTGAAGCTCGTCGCCAGTAACGTGGCCCGTCGGAATGGCCACCGAGCTGAGTGCCCTCGCAGTCGCGGCTGCCGCAGCAGCTTCGATATCCGAATGCCCCGTGTCCGGGGGCGCGTCTTGGGGTCGGTGGATGTCTGCTGCGACTCCCGACATGAGCTCGTCGGTCGCGGGTTGGTTTTCGCTGTGTTCTAGTTGGGCCAGCTGATGCTCATCTGCCCCTTGCCGACTGCCCTCGTTTTCGGCGATCTCATCCACCGACGGGTTATGGGACTGCCTCGCGAAGCCAACCAGCCGGGCAATTTTGGATGGCGAGATATCCCCACCGGGCACCAGCGGATCCTGCGAGGTCGGTGTTGTCTCCCGCTGTCGCTTGAGTGATCTCGACCGGGCTAGCTCAGCGACTGACCCAAAGGGAGCTGTGGTCTGCGGCACGGTCGATGTCGAGGGCGCACGCGGAGCTTCTGTTGCGGTGGGGCCCCGTTCTGAGGCCATGACGGCGGCGAGACACGAGCGAGGCCGGGGGGTTGGGGAATGTGCACCCAAGTGTATCAGGTGCTTAATCACAGGTTATTCCGCGCTGACGGCTGGGGTAACCCGGGGGCATCGCCGGGTTGATGGAGGGGGGGGGGGTTGCCCTCGAGGCTTCAATGTGTGGCTGGAGATCGTGGCGAGAGCTCTCGAGTATTGATTGTATTTGATGGGAAAGCTCAAACAAGGCGCAGAATTGTCGGGCCTGCAGAGGAACAAAGGAGATTAGTTGAAAACCCAGACCTTACTGCTTAGAAAGACGGTCGTGTCTAATTGCCGTCAAGAGCAGTATGCAGTCAGCATTCGGGAATGGAAATGCTTTTGGTGAATGAGAGAACGTGTCGTGAGAAAGCAGCCTCAGGGTGAGAAAAGAAGGCTGCAGAGGGACTGTGGAAGAAAAATGGGCGCAGCAGCCGGCAAGCCTCCCCTGCCCCACTTTTACCTGATCGCCCTCGGCGAACACCAAGGCGTTCAGGTGCGTTCAGGTGCCTGCTAACAATTCCGGCTTCGTTGTTAGGGCGGTACTTGGGCAAGCCAAGCCCCATTCGGCGTGTTGTGGTGCAGCCTCGCCGCACTAACCCGTATTGTAAATCAAGCCACCGCTTCGTTTTGCCATTCGTGGTTTACTGCTGACGGCAACACACTCAGCGCGCTCTGTCACTTCGGGTCATTTGGGAAAGCAAGCACGCAGTGGCTGTGCTCACTTGAGAGATCGAATCGTTGCCCGTGGCAAAGACGCGCGGACCTGGGAATGTTTGGGCTGGGCGCGGAGTGGGGCCAACCTAGGAGTCGTTCTTAACACGATGGAAGGGAAGTGGCGCAGTGACCACCGCCAGACCTTCATCAGCACCTTCCCTCCCTGGGTGTGCTTGTGATGTGGTTGCCCTCGTCTCGCCAGGTTCGATGCATCACAGCGCTCTGCTTGCTCGTTCGTCCATTCGTGTTTTCCGATTCCGCGGAACACTAAACGGCCCCTCCCGTGCCGGCAGCGTTGCATGAAAGATGCTCCCGTTTCAAAGACAACAAGAGCAGCCAACAACCTGGTTTCTGGTTCCAGCTTTGCACTCGTTTTCTTGCGCTGACCTGGATTTTGGGACTCGCCCCGTCCCGGCACCGCATCACCCAAGAAAGATCGCCGTGAGAAATGCCCGAGCCCAATGCGCGCCACCTGATGGCCGAAAAGCAGGTCGGCAGCTCGTGCATGTAGCGAATGGGATTCCTCAGCGACGTTTCTGTTCGGTTTTCCAGCTGCCCACAGGGAGCCTCACCAAGCCATACGCAGTAATACGCTCGTCGGCTGTCCCGTTGGAGTGGGTCCTTATTGACCGCTCCCTGACCTCGTCGCCCAGCTCACCTCCTGTCCTCGCCCTCTCCCTGCTGCCGTGTTTACACCACGCCATCTCCGTTGGTTGGCCCCTGGCATTATTTGTTAAAATGACAAAGAGAAGCTGAGCCTCTCGGTAACCGACAAACACAGGATCATGAAGCCAACTGGGTTGTGGTACGGAGTATGGATAGGGGTAGGTCGCATATCGCTTCGTTCCGGCTTTTGTAAATTTTGGTCATGCCGTCAAGCCCTCCTTTTTGTGGTGAGCCAAGTTTGACTTCATACTATACATGTCACACAGGTAGTTCTGCCGCTTTTCTCTTTCACGAGGGGGGCAGGAGGTGACTTTGACACCTGACACCTGGCCAAAGTGGTGTGCCCGGGCTTGCGTCTCGGACAACTAACTGCCTTCTGAGACAGCTGGAGAGCTGCCGTTGGGAGGCTTAACAAACAGAAAACGAGCAAGAGAGTCGCTAACAGTGAGCTTATTGTCTGGTCGCTTCTCTTCAGACACAGTCCGTAGTGCCACACAGCATACACGCCCTTGCGCTTCGGCGTCTTTGTGTTGGGCACTCTGCAAGTGTCACGCACATGTTCGATGCCGATGTGTATCATGAGTCCCGGTAAATAGAGGGAGATACCAACTCAAAAGGATCGGGTCTCGACGCTTCTGAGTGCCTGTGCATCTGTGTTCGCAGAGATCGCCTCCTTCGGCTTCGACTCCCGGACTTTCGCCAACGTGGCGCCAGTCCGCTTGTCAGCGCTGGATGTCGTGCCTGTGGAACAAGCCCGATTGACTGCATACGGTGATCTTGATGGATCGCTGAGTAACTCTGGTGGCACTTTTGACTGGATGTCAAGGGGAATAGGTGAAGCATGATCGGTCAGTCGCCTTTGGATGGGCCCGCCGAGTTATGCATCGACGCACCTACCGCATGAACTTTCGTCGGAGGGATGCCATTCCGTACTTAGCTGCCCTACCGTATAACATCACCAGGTTTATGTACACTTGTACAATAAAACTAGTGTAGGAAAATACCAATGTTGAAATAGGGGTAGGGATGCTGCCATCCACTTGTACGGTCTCCCTGGCAAGACAACAAGTTGTTTGATGTCATGGCCACGCCTAGACTCTTCTCTCACAGCCGGTTTCTTGCTAACAAAGGGGACTATTCGTAAAACTCCTTGCTTTGCGGCGTCGACGGCGTTGGGGACGAGTCTCGAACAAGGGATTTCGTCCGAAAGGAACGTCGTGTTGCCCCTCGCTCGGGCGATCATTTCTCGAGCCGAGCTATGTGGTGGCTATGCTGTTGATAAATCCGGCCTCATCTTGCCAACAACTTGGCAGCGCCCTGGTAGAGAAAGGCAAGCCTTGCGGTCAATTCGTTGACACTCTCGAGACACTTCAGGCAGAATGTCAGGTTTTGGATTGTCGCGTTGGAGATGCACGCCGACACCCGTAAACACGGCAAGCCTTCTGCATCGCCGCATCGCAGCATCGACGACCGTGGGCCCGATGAGCTGCCGTCGGGTCTGGGGGATTGCCCAGCAATCAATTGGCGGTGCAAGGGCAGAACAGGGGTGAAGGAAAGGAAATCCCGATTTGGACCTGGGCCCAGGCAAGATCCGAATCGAAGCCAGTTGACCCCGGACGGGCCGAACGAACGACGAGGTGCCGTGTGCTGGGCTGACGAACGGTTGAGGGTGAGATGCATGTCAGCACCTTGTTCAAACACCGCGACAGAACGGTTGTCTCGTCTTTGTGCAACGAGCCACACCTCACACCTTACGGCTGAATCGAGTCAGCTTGGAGAGAACTGGCCAGGGTTTCTCCAGATTCGGATCCAATGGCAGCAGGTAACCTGATTGATTGCTTCGCCCAAACGGGGCTAGTCAGGTACCTGGTGGAACGATACAAGCCAGGAGCCCGATGCACAGAAGTTCCCATTTGTTTCTTCGACAAGAGTCAGGTTTTTACCGAGTATTCCGTACTCCGCACATTATCGGAGAACAGCGCCTTGAGCGCGTTGTGGATTGGCGGTTGAATCGGAGATGTACTGAAAACGTCATATTTGAGACTTCCAGGTTGTTCATGATGATCATCGATCCTCGCCTCACAATCTGAAAGCCAGAACAGTGTTCTGGCCATTTCTGTCCAGGTTGAGGCGGGCCAATGGTGCGCTTGGCGCTCCGGTAAAGGGACTTGGCTTTTCGGTAGCTTGGCAGGGGTTGTAAATCCAAAAATACGTCGTTTCTCCATGTCGACCATTTCGAGAAATTGTTTATTGGCAGCGTGTGGTCTTCAAGTCGTTTTTTCGGCCGACTTCCGATGCCCACTTAGGAATTGCGTAAGCTGCCGAGAGGGTTTTCGTCCGAAACACGTTGTAGAGATGGGCAATCCCTGCCATCCCATGAGTGGCTGCGCTCCTGCGGTACCTGCATTAGCCGCCCTGCCGCCCTCTTCCAATCTGCAGGTTTTTTGGCCCACCTCCTCCCCCCAGATGCAATTTCGCCAAGCGGTGTCTCCCTGGTCACTGCACTCCCCTTGGCAAGGTCTGGACTAAACATCCTAGCCGGCGCTCACTTCGCTCCTTTTCCCTTTCCGCTCGGCCCACCAACAAGTCGCCCTGCCGCTCATTCAAGACGCAGCCCTCCTCCTTCGATTATCCTTCTTTTGAACCGTTTGGTCACTCGTTTCTCACCGTTAACTAAACGTCCCACACTCCCTTTGCGACGATTCCTCCATATAGAAAGTCTTTGCTCTTTCTACCACATTCCTTTTGGAACTAGCAAACGAACAGATATACATTTTTTACCTCAATCTTGATGACCAGTAAGAGCAATTTGATCCGTGTCCCATCAACCTAGAAGAGATTTCCACAATTTGCAGACCTGGGTAACATGGGTAACAGGCCGAGTACGGACTGAACTGGA